TGGAAAGAAGCATCAGAGGTCAGGGAGGGGGCCTTTGAGACACAGAGAATAGCTAGTGCAATGGCCCTGAATTGCCACTCAACTATTTCTCCAAAGAAGGGAAAAAGCATGTGGAAGAGTAGAGAGTGAGGGGAAGTGGGAAGGAATAGGCAGGAGCCAGGATCCATGTACCAAGAGCTGAATCTTGTTCCAAAAGCAGTGGGAGTCATGAGAGCCTTCAAACATATGACAGGCATGTTCTGTTTGCATTTTAGGAGTCACTCTAACTCCAGTAGAGACTGAATTGTTGGATGGTCAGAATGGAAGAAGTAAGGTTTTGGTTTCCTGCTTCTGTCTGTGTGTGAGACTATCCAAAACATGATGCTTTAAAAATTGCTGTGTTAGTTTTCCACCAATATGTGAGGAAGAAATAATTTAGCTGGGCAGTTCATCACTGACTCACAAGACATCAACTGGGACAACTGAGGCTGGAGACTGGTGATCCAGGTCACTGATCACTTCACAAGGAAGTGTGATGCCCAAGTGCTGCCAGACCTTCCTCCTTCTGCACATGAAAACTCACTCATTAGGGCCTATGCAAGGAGCATGTGCTTCTCAGTCTGCTGGTCTCAAGGTGGGTTTATAATCTTACTTGACATCACTTCCTCCATATTCATTGCTCAAAGTAGTTAAAGATGGAGAAACAGACCACACTTAGATGGGGAAATAATAGGGTCATTTGCAGCAGGATATGTCTAGTGGAAGTAACTATTGTTAGCTAGCTTTAGAAAATACAATTCGCCACAAGTGTGGTGGCCATCTCAATAAGTCAGCCAAGTCAGCTTAGAATTGAATGTTTTCATTTCTAGGGCATGTTTGAAAGAGGCAAATTCTTTTAGCTTTTCTTTACTGTGGAAGAATTTTATTTCATTTTCGAAGTCAAAGGAAAGCTTTGTGGGGTATGTTATCCTAGGCCGACAATTCTTTTCTTTTAGAATCTGGAATATGTCACTCCATTCTCTTCTTGCCTGTAGAGTTTCCTGTGAGAGATCTCCTGTGAGCTTAATTGGCTGCCCTACAAATGATACTTCAAGATGTTCTCTTGACAGAGAAGAGGAATAGCACCTACCAAAACCAAAGGCAAACGGAAAGAACATCCCAGTAAAATGACAACAGAAGACTAAACCAAATGAAAAAACCATTCCTAAAATGACAGGACCAAAGTACCATCCATGTATATTTAACTCTGAATTGTAAATGGCTTAAGCTCAATCAAATATCATAGATCAATAGATTGGATTAAAAAATAAAACTCATCTGTTTATTATCTGTAGGAGACACACTTCAACAAAGATCAGCAGAAATTATATCACATGGGTTTTATTGTTTTCTGTTGGTTCCATCTCTTCAAAGCACTTTTTTCTGATTAAATCTTTCAGTGACTCATAGATCATGCAGTGGTATCATTTTCTTCAAGAAGGTTCTTGATTTTCATTTCTTCAGCTACACATTAGTCATTTAATAGCATGTTGTTTAACTTCTTGGTGTTGTTAATTTCTTTTTTCTCCTGGATGTTGAGCTTTTTTTGTGGCTCTTCATTTAAGGGAAGGCATAGTAGCTGTGTAATGGAGACTGTCATATCTAGTAACATGTCATTTAACTTCATGGCATTGTAAATTTCTATTTTTCTTTCTATTGTTGATTTTGAGTCATGACTTTTCATTTGAGGGGATGTACAATAGCTGTGAAATGGAAACTAACATCCAGATGTGAGGATGCAGTGTGGTATGCATTTCTGTTTCCAGAAAAAGATGGACTTACAATGAAACTGTTTACTATATCTTGAGAATAGGATGCTGGGCTCTCTGCCATTGTCCATGCCCGCAATGATGGACATATGACTGAGTATGAAGAACTATATGTTAGTAATGATATAAAGGAACTGGGCAGGGGGAGAGATTTGGGGCGGGGATAAGGGAATATGGAACTGTATCATGAAATGATAGCAATAATAGTAAAATGAAAAAAGAAAGAATTGAACGTTTTCGCTAGAGAAGAGAAATGGGTGGATTTAAAGAACAGGAGCAGAACAGGTAGAAAGTAGCTAAAGCATGAGCAAGTGAATCTGAATACTTTTGAATTGACTACAGTTGATAAGATCTCATGGATAAGTTTTGCCCTCCAGGAAGGAAGTGAGTCACAGATGTATTTGATCTATTCTCAAAGACATGCATCAGTATCAAGTTTCAAAATGGTCACCTGTTGGTTAGAGCAGGGAGTTAATGTGGTATAGAGCTACATAGCAAGGTGACGGTGTGAACCTAATGGATTGCCAGGTCTTGTACCCCAGGGGGCTTTTAAAAGGAAAAGAGTTTTAGCAACATTACATTTGCAAAGTTCTCATGCAAATGAGTGCATTTGACCATGGAAAGACCTAAGCAGTCTGTATTTCACATCTTCAGTTACTTAAGGGGATGCTGTTAAGGAACAGGAGTTAGTGTACTAAAGAGAGTTTAAAAACAGGGGGTTTGGTGACCAAAATGCTGGAAACTCTTTTCATATTTTAACAAATGAGAGAATCATTGAGGAACTTGCTCAGGGTCACCCAGAAAACTATTGACTGTGCTGGTACTACAAGACATGTGTTCTGATTCTAGTCTGGGGTTCTTTCCACAGCATCACCTGCCATCCTGCCCGGGAATTATAGCTTTTTGCTGTCCTTTGGTCATACTGAGCCTTCACTATTGCTCAACTAACTTTCAGACAGTGCCAGAAGGCTGAGAGAAAACTGTGAACAAACCAAATCTGTTCCCCCTACTGGAACAAAATAACTCTAAGACAGGCTTACCTAATTTTGACTCAACTGCGTCTCTTTGTGGACCAGATAGTACATAACCATGTGAAATCATCACAGTGCAACTCTGTGCTGAGCTGCTAAACACCCCGTAGACTAGTTATTCAAGTACTCAGAATGCCATTATTCTCAGGATTCTGAAGTCACCTTCTCAGTTCTCACATCTCTACCAAAGCTCATCACCAGGCTCTTTGGATTGGAAAATGAGGACAAAGAGTCTTTGGTGGGGATGAAGGAAAACACACATTATAACCAGCATTCCCTAGATGAAGCTTCTACTTCGCATCTGCAGTTGCATGATTTTTGTTTTAATTTTCTCAGATTTTTTGAAGTGGTCAAAACTCCACCACAGACGAGTAAAACTGACATGTCCTAAATATCATAATTCCAACTGCTTTTAATATCTTCAGCATTACCAGTAGTCGAATAGAATGGACATCATTTGTGCCTATCTAATTGGAAAAACATTAATTGAACAATCTCATTGGAATGGAATTGGTATTTTTATGTTGCTATCATAGCATTTACTGGGAATAACATGAATAATTGTAAGATCTAATATTTACCATACCATGTTTTGCAACATATTTAAACTTACTTGAGCAAATATTTTCTCCCTTCCACATTTAAAGGATTTATAAAATACTACTCCTTGCTCTCTGCAAAAGAAGCAATTTGCTGGGCTCTGGAGCTTGGGAATATGTAAATCTTGCCTAAGGAGTTAGATGTCTCTTCAACAGGATTGCACACAAAATCTAACACCTTCTATATGTTTCACATGTTTTATTGCACTGACAAGCTTAACTTTATCCGATACTGGGCCAGGTGGTGTTTAAATCCCAAATAACCAAAACTTTCAATGCCACAGGCAAGAAAGACTGACTATTCAGTAGGTACAAGTTGCAATATTTCAGGCAAGACATTGTCAAAATCAGCGGACTGGAGGCTTTTGTCCATGGAGTTTACTAGCACATTTGTATTCTCTTTTACACGTTTCAAAAAGGCTTTAAAAACAGATGCTTCAGCAGTGTTTTTCTGTAAGTTTTCATGAAGGTAACACTATTAATCTATCTTGAAAATCCTCTCCAGGACCTCAGAAAGTCTCCCTTCTTCTAAAGCACTTTCTCTTCTGCCTCAGAATTCGAGTGCTCTCGTCACCAAGTGCAGACTGAAATATTTCACTATGGGTTTGAATAGGAGCCAAGATGGACGATGAAAGGAAAACGTCTCCCTATAAAAGGTTTATTGTCAGCGCTTTCTAAAGATGTAGATTCCTGTAACACAGGCTACCAGCCTTTTCACAAACCCTGATGCAAGCTTCTGCACCTCTCCTAGACCTAGGCTTCAGGTCTTTTTCTTGTAGGAATGCTCCCCATCTGGCCTTTGACCCCATCCATATAATGTATATTATGAAAAAGGAATGGGGGTGGGGTGGCCGGGTCCTCACACTGTTGGAAAAGTACTTGAAATTCCTCACATTCCTTTGCATTTAACAGCGTGTTTACCTAATCACTAGCTTATTAGAATTAACACAAGTCATTGCTTCAAGCTCATTAGTGAAAACAAACTGACTTCTATAGATTCCTTTTTTTTTTTTTTTTTTTCCTGATACTGGTCCAGAGTGACTTTTGAAATAGTTCTAATTTTACCAAATGATATTAGAAAACCATAGTTATAATCAAGAAATCTTTCATAACACCTTATCTAACTACAGTCCAAATTGCTCCTGGAGTTAGATGTGTGCAGCTGGAACAGGGAGTTTTCCTGAAAAGGTTTCTCTCTTTTAGCTATGAAATATGCACATAATCCAGTGATTAAAGTGATAAATGATTCCGTGACACTTGTCTTAGAGTGACTGAGTCTCCTGGACCTTCAGTATCAACAGAGAGTCACAAATGCAGCTTCTGATTTCCTAGTGCTTCTCCTAAAGCCTGCGTACAACCCATGCTTCTTACAGATTACCTCACATGTAAAGACTTTCCTTACTGAAGATACAGAAAAGGAACTATTGCCGTGTTCAATAGCTTACTGCTATAGTCCAGTCGGGCCCCTTAAACAGTCCCTGCCATTTCCCAAGCACTCAGCAATTCCTGTGTGTATGGCTGAATATGCAAGTCACATGAATTCTGAAATATTTAAAAATATTGAATGACATACACTTAGATACTAGGTAAATATTTCTTTATTAAATGATTAATTCCATAAATAAATTCTTTTCACTGAATATAAAATTAAAATCATTTACAAATTATTCCAGTATTACATTTCCCTTCCCTCCCCAAAAGCTACATTTCGATAAATAGAAACATTCAATCTTAAAACACCTGATTTCTGTTTGCTGTGTGGAGTGCAGACAGCTGCCTCTCGTGGCCACTCACAGAGTGTCACCTCCGGGAAGGGATCAGATGTGCTCCCCAGACAGCTTCTATCAAAGGGCAAAGGCAGGCTGTCCACCACATCTTACCATCTTTTACCATTAAAGACTTGAGAGGGAAAGGGTCTAGAGGAAAAGACGCTGAACAAATAATTTACAAACAGAAAACAGAACGTCATCAACACTACAAGCTCCAAAATGAAGCAGTAACATGTGCTCCAATACTATGAAGCAAAGGATTCTCCAATTGCGGCTGCATGACAGACCATCTGCACCAGCACACTAAGCCTCAGTACAACTCAAGAATGAGCAAGGCATCCCTTCTCCTAGGAGGCCCTGCACCGCACCATCCCCACCCACATCTCCTCCAGGACTCCGACACTTTTCTCTCTCCTCTGTCCACCCTGGCCCCTTGACACTTAGTCCCGGAATTTGTGAATGTCATTGAAGAGCCTGTAGAAGGGAAAGGAAGCCTCGTTGGCATGTGGGCAGTTGTAGCTGCACTTGCAGGACTGGATCATCATGACATTCTTGGAGAATGTCTCCCCGTCTTCGCAGAGGAATCGCATCTTCACCGTCCTGGTCTGCTGGGGCATACAGCATCGGCCGTCCACACAGGAGCCACAGTACTTGGGCCGGTATTTCTTGATGCTTGAACATCCAGCGTAGGTAAACTTCACTGGCTCAGGAGACTTTTTGGTCTTGCTGCATTTCTTGCCCTTCTGTAGCAGAGAGGAAGGAGAGAAGGTCAGGGTCAATGATCAATAGAACAATTTTTGCTTGCCAAAGAGCTTGATATGCCACCCGCCTGTGCCAGCTGGGTCTCCTGCTCCAACTCTCCACATACTCACCTTCAAGTTGCTGTATGCCAGCTGTCCACAAGGTCGCACTTCACAGATTCTGGTCTCTTTCACCAGGCGGCATTCCGAGTTGTCATTGGTGACACGCGTGGAGATGCCAGTTCCACAGGTCTTGGAGCATTGCGACCAGGAAGTTGTCTGAACGATGCATTTCCGGCCGTGTAATGGATTGTAGAAGATGCGAGGCTCCATGCCAAAAACTAGATACACACAGGAGGAAGGATGTTTCAGAGGCAAACCAACACTCACGGATCCCACACTCTGCTCCACAAAAGCTTCAGCCCAGAGCATATTCCCAGCACGGGGGTCCCAAGCCTCTACTCACCAGGCAGTCTCTTCAGCGGGTCGCCTTTGCCAATGGCGATCAACTCGTTGTTTCTGGTTAACTCCACCTCGGAGGCATCGAAGCCCAGGCCCTTGCCCAGGAGGTCGTCCTGCTCATCCTGATCGTCATCCATGGGGTCCTTGATGCTGTCCTCATCGCAGACCCACTCTTCGCAGCACTGCCCGGTGACTTTGACCAGTCGGGGATTGGGACAGCCCAGGTTGGGGAGGGACAGCTCTTGGGGACACAGAGGAATGCAGCCCACGGCACCATCGATGCAGGTACACTGATGTTTACAGTTGGGCTGGAAACTCTCCCCGTTCTGGTAGATGCGAGAGTTGTATTCACAGGGTCTGCCTTCCGACTGAGCTGCAGGGAGCAGAGAGAAAGAAGGGGATAAAGTGAGAATCCCGAAGCATGGGCCTCCAACGCACACACGCGCACACTGTTCTTGCTCTCAAGTTCGATGTATGCTAAAGTTCCCTGCGGGTCCCGGGAGACTCCAGCCCAGAACAATAAGTTAGTCAGGAATCACTTTTCCGTATGCGCTTTTCGCTGGGCCCAGACGCACTGAATCGCATTCCAGACTGCTGAAATCATGGACTTTTCTGCCAAGCTACCAACAACAACGCATCACCATACATGGTCTCAAAATTACTAAACTGCTGGACTATTGGGGACTGTTCCCTCTTTTTTTCCCCCCAAGGGGCCAAACCGCAAGCGGTCTTACCTCTGCAGATCCCCTTCAGAGCGGTGGAGCTGGCGCCGAAGTTGCATTCCAGCCCCTTGGTGTGGTCGCAGGGCTGCGTTTTGCTGCAGTCCTCGTTGAGCTGCTTGGCGCAGACCTTACAGCAGCCACAGCCATCCCGGACCAGCCCGACGCCCGGGGCGCACTTGGGCGCCTCTAGGGGGCAGTGGCAGGCGGCGGGGCAGGTGGAGAGCGCCTGGAAGCGGGAGAAGAAACGCGTGAGACTCGGTGCGGGACACGGGGGAGAAACCGGGGGTCCGGGCGGGCTGGCGTCCCTAACTTGGTCGAGCAGAGGGGAGGTCTCTGATTTTGGCCAACCCGGCGGTCCCCCGACTTATCTTCAGGGTGAGTAAAGACAGTCACCTCCAAGCACACCCTCCCACGGCCGCCGTCCCCAACTTTCTAGCTCGGACAATTCCTGCCTGGGATAACGTGGGGTGAGGGGACCGGCCAGGCAAACGGTGGCAAAAGTAGAGTCCAACTCACCAGTCTGGTCAAGTGCAGGAGGGTGACGGCGCAGGCGAGTGCCCTGGCGGTGCGGCAGTTCATTGTGGCGCACAGGAGGAACCGGGGTTAGAGCGCGGAGGCGAAGACTTCAGCAAGTCGGGGCGCAGCACACGGGCCGGCGCGGCGGGCGAACGACGGGATCGGCGGGGCGTCCTCCTTTCCAGGTCCTGGCTCTAGAGGCGCAGAGGCAGCAGGCACGACTCTGGGGCGCTCTCGCTCGCGGTCTGCCTGAACGCCGGGAGCCCGCCTTTTTATACGGGCCCGCCGAGGCGCCGCGTGTTGCAGTGACGTCGGCGCTGTCTGCGCGTTCCAGAATTCCCAAACATCTCAGGAATGTTGGTTGGCGCGGGCTGCTGCCAAGCACCTCCCCTGGCTCCACTGCACCCTTTTTTCTTTCTTTCTTTCTGTCTTTTTTTTTTTTTTTCTGGGTCCCCGACCCGTCAAAGAAAACAGTTCATTTTCCCATTTTAATACCGATTCCTACTGGGGAGGGCTCTTTGCGCGGGAGGGGGGACATGATGGTGGCGATGGCAGTTGGGAGGGTGTTGGGGGAGTGGAGGGGGCACTAGTCGAGGACTTTTGCTTGGACTTGGAAGGGTAGGAGGACCTGAGCGGGAGGAACAAAAGTCGTTTTGTTTGGTGATGCCGACTTGACTGAGCAGCCGCGGAAACCCTCGTCCGAGAAAGCGGCGAGTTGTTTGCTTGTTTACAGCGAAGGTGAGAATCAAGTTACCTGTTTAGAGAGTTGCACCGCGGGGATGGACAGTGAGCCTGGGAGCCAGGAATCTATTTGTGGACTTGAAAGCTTCAGCATTCTGTTTATTAGCTATGCCAAGTGTATTGCAAATGAATACCTGCAGGGGCATTTATGAATGAGAAGGGGGGGTGGAATAAACTTCCCTCATGGTCTGGCAAATGCCCAGGCAGAGGTCTCCCCGCCCCCCCTCCCGCCTCCATCAGTTCCTCCCCCCACTTTTTTCTTTTTTTGTACGCTGTTTGTTTTCAGAGGTTCCCACTTTAATTCCAGCCCACTGCCTGGGCTGGAAGTCCGAGAGGAAACAACGCAGGGAGTTCCCGGGGAGGCCGACTTCCTCGCGGATGCGGGAGACGGGGTAAGCCCTCCAGGCTTCCCTGGGCGGGCTGCAGGCGATGTTGGCCAAGCAGCCAGCCAGCAGCGGAGGGGACCACCGGGGAGTGATTTGGCTCCAAATCGTCACCTGTGAACCGTGGTGCAAGGCCAACCCGGGATTCCAGCTGCTGCCACGGGCACTCTGCATGGCTTGGAGGCTTTGTGGGTGGGGTGGAAGGTCTGGAAGCTTTGGAGCTTTGTTCTAACAAAGTTGGGCAGCCTGCCTTTCAGCGGAATCCCGACACCCCTGTCTCTGGGAAAGTAAGCCATGTAGGATGTTCTACATTCCCTAACAACAACGCTGGCGACTGGTTCCACTTGCAGCACAAACTGTACCCTCAACAGGGCCACTCACCTCTACACAATTATTGCTAGTGTGCCTGTTTCAAAAGCAGCCTTCTCAGGAGCTTTTAATAAGACACACAGAAGTCATTATTGTCGGTTTTCTCTAGAAAAACTTTTCTTTGGAATATGGTAGAGCTGCTCAAGAGTCCTGATTTTGTACTCTTGGCCCCGGTGCCTGACTTTTCCATAAAGTGAGTGATACAAGCATACTGAATGGGAAGCTATTGGGAAGAAACCATTCTCCAAGGAAGAGAGCTTTTGCAAGAAACAGTTTCATTCATTCAGAAGTATGCTTTCTGAAGAGGCCTGTGCCAGAGGGAGGGGCTCAGGGGTTGGGGAGAATTTCTGCTGTCAGGCGCTCTGCAGAGGGAGGCCAGGCTAGGCCCTACACACCACTCAAGCCAACTTGCCAGTGTCTCTGGAAAACACTCTCTTCCTGTCTTAGCATTTCATGATCCTTTCTCTCCTAAAGAGGTGACTGGGCTGGGCAGGAGGGAGAAGGCGCAGTGCTGGGTGGGAGGAGGTGGAGGGGAGAATGGAGAGGATGGTTCCTGGCTTCTGTTGTGGCGTCTTTTCTATTTGACTTCATGGCTGTAAGTATTTCCAGATGGTGAATCAGACACCAGACGTAACAATATTTCCATATTTGGGTATAGCAGTAGCCTGCGTTTTTAACATTTTTCTGCCTCTGTTATCCAACCACAAAGCATTCTTGACAGCTTCAAATGTTGTTAAATATAGACTTAACTTCTGTTCCCAGTGCAGGAAATTCTTTGGAATTCCTTGTTTTTCATGCAATCTGTCTATCACTCTTTGAAATAAAATTACGATTGCTGAACCAACTGGCCATACAGACCTTATTTCTTTCTGACGGTCAGGATGAGGGTCACAGCCAAGGAACCCAGGCTGCTGCCCAGCCATCAGCACTCATGCCACTCCGGAGATGCCTTGAGAAATCAGATTAAAGGTTTCCAATAAGGGTCTTGGGGTTTGTTTCTGGCCTTGGATGAGGGGATCCCAGAGGAGGATGAGTTGGCCCCAGATGACAAACTTAGAGATGCTGCGGAGGGGGGTGTTGTGGGAGGGCGTGGGAAGCTGGAGCCACAGGGCCAGGAGGTGGGGGAGCAGGAGAGAGTGCAGCAACCTTGGTACACAGCCTTGCCACTTCCATATAGCTTGTACTGCTGCTGCGCCTGCTACGCAAACACGCCCCCCACCCCTCGGGGTGGAGGGGGGACACAGGAGCAGCGGCTTCTCTCATCTTGCCCAGGGAGGTCCAGAAAACCCAGATGGCCGGTTGCCTCTACTGGGAGCTGCAGATCAGCTCAAGCTGAAAGACAGGAGGGGGAAAGGGCCAAGTGTCTATGGGTAAGTGCCGCTACGGGTGCGAATTCGCTGCTCTAGAGCTCCCTTCATCCTTTCCGCTCGATGGGGGGCCGCCCCAATGCCTTGGGGTGCAAGCTATGGAGAAGGGGCTGCTTGTGGCCAGCAGTTCCTGGCTCAGGGCTGAGGATGGGGGGTCATCCACCCGCTGCTGCCCTAGAGCGGTTCACTGCTGGGCTAGGACTGAGAATAGCAACCCTAAACCTGGCCACTCGGGCATCCAGCCCTAGGTTAGCGTCTGTCCAGATCATCTGCGGGGGGGCATAGCGAGTTTAACTAAGTGGTGCAGATGTTGCTGGTCCTTGAAGCACACACTGAGAACCACTGCTTTGAGTGAGTGTGTGTGTGTGTGTGTGTGTGTGTGTGTGTGTGTGTGTGTCAGATGCTTGCTTGCACACCCCTTCTTACAACTCTACTTTTGATCGTCTCCTTCAATGAAAAAAAAAAATGTATGTAGTGTCTGTCAAGTTTAAAGGGCCAGGTTTAAACGCCACCTCCGTTTGCCTCCTGCACCATTCCCTACCTCCACCCTTGTTGGCATGATCAGCAAGTACCCCGGAGCAGCCGGCATCACGGCGGTACCGCGGGAACTGCGCGTCGGGCGGACAGGGACCCCTGGGGGGACCCTGAGCTGCGGGGTGCAGGAGGGGGCAGCGTCGCCTGGCCAGAGGCTCGAGGACCCGCCGGGCATCCCTCTGCCGCCGCCCCCTGCCGGCCGCCGGCCCGCGCCTCCTCCCCGCGGTTGCCAGGACGCGAGGTTTCCGGCGGCGCGAGGCGCAGGACGTTTCCAGCCCCGGCCCATATTTGGTGAAAGTCTTTCAAGACTCCGTCATCCAACTCCGGGGGGCGGCGGCGACGGCGGCCTGGGAGCGGGGCTGGGTTACCGGGATGGCGTCGCGTTCCTGAAAAGTGTGCGCGGGCCTGCGGCAGCAGGGGACCCCGAGCCGGGGGACGAGGGGGCGGCCGGGCAGAGCGCGGCGACCCCAGCCCCTGAGCGCCCCTCCGGGGGCCCGGCCGCGCTGCGTGGGAGGCTGGCGCGGAAGGCGCCGCGGCCCGATTGTGTCACTTTTCCCGTCCACCCCCTGCTGACTCGTCCTCCCAGAGGGCCAGCGAGTTGCTCCGCGCGGCCAGCGCTACAGGGTCCGCCCAGTCGCGGGGGCGTGGGGACGTGTGTCTGAGGGCGGTGTCGGCTTGGCCGGCCCGGCGCACCCGAGCGGGAACTTGGAATTGAGACTTGAGGATAAGTCCCAAAAAGCCTGGGTTCCATTAGGACACGTGCTGGAGCGCTCTCCGGGCTCCTCCCGGTCTCGCACAGCTCCTCCTTCTCTTTCCTTCTCAGGAAGTTCCGTGGGCAGGCTGCGGGAGCCTGGCATGGGAAGCCGCGGCGCTGCTCTCCGCTGGTCTGGGAGCCCGAGGAAGCCGCTACGGCTCTCTGCACTTGGTGCGCTTGGTAGATGATGCAGGAGGCAGCATCAGCTGGTAAAAACCAAACCAGTCCCCTTCCAGGGGCATGGGGGTCACGCCACCCCCTCCTAATGATAACAGCAACAAACACAGAGCTTGTATGTCAGGCACCCTTTGGATGTTGTCTTTATATTGAAGTTCTCCAAAAGCTCCGTTGAGACAGGTTCTCTAGGAGCACCGTTGTCTAGGCAATGCAGGAAAGGAGGCACAGAAGGTAAGTGCATCTTCGTGCAAACTATAGGCTTAACCACAGGTTACACTGCCTGCCTCAGACTAAAGGTTCATCTCCTCTGGAATTTTATCTTCATTTGACTGTATCCCTACTTTGCCCAGACAGTCTAGGAAGAATACATCAGAAAGGCAAAATAGTTGCTTAAGGCAGCTGTGCCAGTCCCCAAGCATAGCCTGGCACACTGCCCCTTAGTGGCTCTTAGTGGGTTGAGGGAAAAGGGTGTTACATTTGGATGAAAAAAACTTAATCCAAAGAAGTTTAGAAAGTAGATTTGGGGGCATCTTCGCAGCCCAGCAAGCATGATATTTAGGGCCTTTGGGGGCTTCTGTGGGATGTCCTAAGATGCATTGACCAGGCACTCCTGCTTCTGGAACCAGGCTTGACTAAGTGACTTCTGTCTTGAGATCAAGTGCCCAACATTGCTTACTTGACAGTTCATCAGTCTGAGTGTCTCTTGTGGACCAATTCTGCTCTAGCTTTTTTTTCCCT